TTTTAACAACTAATAACAGATCAAAGTATCTCTATACTCACGTGTTTAATCTCAAAATCAATAATAATATTAAGCTTATTAACAGCATTAGTTTTCAAGACGTTTGAGTGAAAACAGTTAACTCCATATATATATATATGTAAGAGATATTCTAAAAATTAAGTGGTTAATTAAGTAACAATATATGGTCAATTTTTTCCATGTATATAACAGTTGAAAATTTGGAAAACGCGTCGTATACGCATCATATTTTTGTGATGTAAATTATTTAATCCCTTTTTCCTAAAGCACTTTGAGATAGAATGTATGATCAGCTTTTTAGTAGAATTTGGATAAACCGGGAGAAACAAAGAAAGCAAATGAAAGAATTTAATCATTGCTAATTATAATAACTTGGACACCGCAAAATTAGTGAAAAATATGCAGGAATGAATACTTTTTCACTACAAAATCACAGAGTTCGGAATGAGGAATATTGAAAGTAGTAAGAAATAACAATGTCCAAACAACTAATTAATTTCACTGATGTCGAAACCGCATTGTTAGGTTGGAAGGTTAGGGGTTAAGACGTTGATTCATCCTTTTTAGCGTCTTTAATTCGAAACTAAACATGAAACTTTGGTTTCATTCAGCTTCTTTATGGAAGAAGGACAAATTACTAAATGGAAGATATCAAGGAAATTAAAAAAAAAAATTTTGACCACAACACAATATATATATATATATATATATATAAACTTAAATTGAGAACTGGATTAGTTCTGATTGCATGTCTAATGATCACCAAGAATATAGATATATACACACACTAATGGAGAATTAAAAAAAATAAAAGGTAAATAATATATATATAAATAAGTAGAAACTAATTAATCAATTACCGTGCAAAACTTTCTGTTTGGCTTACATGAAACAAAGTTAACAAACAATTAGTTTCAACAACCAAAACTTTCTTTTAAACTTTTGAGATGGATAGGTAAACTAACATGGTATCAGAACGGGAGGTCTTGAGTTTAAACCCTCGTAACCGCACTCTTTATCCTCATTTAAATTGTCATCATGTGTTAGATTTTTAATATATCTCGAGCTTAAATATTCACGTGTTGAACTTTTTAATTAATTTACTCACATAATTATCTATTGTCCAGCCCACACGTGAGAGAGTGTGTTAAAGTATAAAATTATTGTTAACACACCTCCTAATAACTTAAACTTTTGGGATGGATTGGTAAACTAACACCGTCCAAACGACCGCGTTTCGAAGCAGCAGTAGTAGTATCTGAGAAAACGTTGCTTTGCATAACTTTCTGATTATGATCATCATCAACTTCTTCTTCTTCTTCATTACGATGATCGTATAAACGACGGCGTTTCTTGAGCGGAAGAAGGGATGGATTAATATGGTAATTAGCAGCAGAGGACAAATCTGATTCTTCATCGACAATTGCGTGACAAAGTCTGGCCAAATTTTCCGATTCGTGGGTCGATTTCCTACTCGTCATCTCCAAGAAACTAGAGAGAAGAACTGAGGAACGAGAAAGGGAGAGAGAGAGAGAGAGAGAGAAATTTTTCGTCGGTTTGAGATATATTATTATGAAGAGAGGGCGTGGGCAAATATGAAACTTGATTCTCAACTTAAATAACAATTCTGAGTGTAATGGGTTTCAAAAAACCATCTCGATTACTTTTTTCCATTCCATTATCAATTTATACATATGCTTGATATTAGGACGTACGTAGTATTTTTAATAATTTTTAATTTTCTTAAGCATGAACTTAAAATAATATAATTTTGTTAAACTTGAACTTATATATATTCGTATATTAATATTTGTAATTAATGAACTCTTCTTTTTCAATGGGCCTTAGGCTTTTTAGGCAAATCCCTTGAAGACTAGGAATCCCAACAATTCCACTATACCAGGAATCCTAGCAGCGTAAAACCCACTTCGCTATATATATATATATATATATATATATATATAAACCCAAAACTTGGTTAATTTTCAGATTCATCTCAAGGCTTTGGTCTGACAATTAAGGGAGCCAGTCGTTGATGCTTTGTTTTCTCCCCTTTACAGTCACTGCTTCCATACGAAGACTCATGTAATCGTTTGGAAGCTGCGACTGTGAATGAGAGAATTAAACTGAGCAAACTTTATATAGTTGAGGAACAAGTAATCGTAAAGCTTTTGTTTTCATTAGCCCATGCAAATATCTAAGGTATAAATATTTCTTTGTACGTACTCAAGAAAATAAAAATAAAAACGTGATATGTTATATAATTATATAAACCCTATATAATTGCATGCCAAATTTTGAAGATATTGAAATCCTACAGTTTTGTCTTTAATAATTCGGTTGCTTCGTGAATTGGGTTTTGATTAGCTAGTTGAAAAAAATATAAATATATTAAGAATTTAAATATAAGATTAAAGCTATTTTCGGATTTGAATTATTTCAATATATTTCATATGATCGACGGGGATTTATTAGTTCTATTAGGACTTATTTGAGTTTGAAAAGTATTAAGAGTATGATTACTATTAGGACTTATGTTCCTAATAGATAAAATAACTTATAATGTAACTTTAATTTTATATTTCAATTCCTATTTCATTCGTGTTTGTTCTTCCATCAGTTTTTGGTTTTGCAAAGTTGATTTTGATGAGTTGTTTGATGCTATTGCTGAAACTGAAAGGTTTTAGAGCCATCTTCTTCTTGTTTTTTTTCCTAAAAACTTTATTTAATTGTTTTAAGGTAATATTTCTTTTATCAGATTATGTTTGTAAATAATTAGCATTAATTTTCCGAATTGCTTTCAACAGTAAGTTTCCCTATGTTTATTTCTTCTTGACTTGGGACTTGGGAACATTCAAGAAAACTACAAAATTCCATTAAAAGATAAGTGTAGCTGCAGACAAGAAATTCAAATCACTTGTACAATTTCAATATTTAGAATGGTCTCCACTCAATCAAATTGGGCCACATCATTTAATAAGTTAAAATATCTTTTTAAGTAACTTTTCCATATTTTGTGTTCCTAGGTTCATGAGAAAAATCCGCATGCCATATGTTAGAATGTACTGTAAATAAGATCATAAAGATTTATATAGATATAAATCAATATAGATGTACATATGGCACGCATTAGTATATTAAACCAGAGAAAATGAAATATTAAGCACACAATACCTGTGTTTATCTGGGAAGATTAACGATGAATACTTAAATCATGAAACCGAAGGACACTCAATTTGTGAAAATAATGTCATGAAATCATATGTCGACGAGCCCGTTCATTTCGCTGCTTCGAGTTTGTAATTCGAGTTGAGATGTGATTTTGTGTGAGAGCTTTTTACTGTAGCAAAAAAGTTAGATGTGATTGTTTCTGAGAGCTTTTTACTGTAGCAAAACTCGAATTCTAAACTCGAATCGGCGAAATGAACGGGCACAACCAATGACGGTCTAAATTAGTAACTAGGGATGGTTACTCCATGTTACCAATCAGTTTTGTGTGAGCGAACTTCTATCTCTTAATTATTTTAGGCTACCTAAACTCTTCAGGTTATTTTAAATTATCCTCATGTTTTCTTGCTTGAAGGCTTGTCTGATTGTATGTTAAGTTTGGATGCTTGTGGGTTGCTTGTCAAGTCTAAGAAAATGCTGACATTATTTCCTGACTTTTATTCCATCTCAATTATATACAAAAATGCCCCAAAACACTTTGATATTAATAAGATCTATTAAATGATTTGTCTAATTATAATTGGTTAAACACTAATTAGGACACCAAAATTTAGATAACAAATTTGAGTCGACAAGTAAGTTCCACAGTACTAAACATATTTCAAAAAAAAAAAAAAAAAAAATTGTTTCTCATGCGATTACCAGGACAGCCTCCACTTTCTCACTCCATTGATTTTCTTTTTGAAGTTCATGTTAAAATTTTGCATGAAATATAATATTAATGCAATAAAGGGAACTTCTTTTCCAAATAAATGATTTCTTCTTTCTTTACGAAAAAACAAAGGAAGGCTTATAAACCGCATAAGATACTGACAGAACAAGTGTTATTTTACCTGAGAGAAATAATTTGGGTCCAAAACGTTCTTTCAATCAATTAGGTATACAGTGAGTTAGACTCGGAGAAAAAGAGACAAATATCTCTTTAGACAGATTATATAGGATTTAATTTTTATCATTTTCTCTCAATTAATACTATTTTAATTAAATATTATATTAATCAAAAGAATATTAATAAAAAATAAGGGATACAAATTTAGACCTACGAACTTCTAAGTCTAAATTCTTTAATTTTTTTCTAGACCTTAGACATGTATCGTTATCTTAAAAATAAAAATCATTTTGATAATTACTATGTAACTATATTAAAAAAATATTCCAGTAATTACTATGTAATTTGTTATTTCTAAAATATTTCAAAAAAAAAAAAAAGTTGCTACATTTTAATTTTGCTCTGTACATGCCATGTACGTAGTGTAACTTTTACTATGGGGATATTGCCATGAATGATGCATCTTTAATTGATGTATCCTCTTCATGTTTTATCCAATTTAAAGTTTTTATTTCAACAGAATATTCAGGCCGAACCTAGTACACAATATCACTAAAAGAAATTGTAGCTTTAGCTGCAAAATTTGCAGCTACAAATATAAATTTGTAGCTAATAGTAAGTTTTTGTAACAAAATAAAATTTGTAATTAAATATTAGTCATTAGTCACAAATTATATTTAGTAGCTAACATTTTGACACTAAATGACGAGAATTAGAATTTTAGCAAATAAAATATAAAAATTAGCTACAACAAACTAAATGATGAGAATTAGAATTTTAACAAATAAAATATAAAAATTAGCTACAACAATTCGTTTTTGTAGCTGATTGTTAAGATTAGTGACAAAAAAAAAAAAAATTGTAACAAAAGCAATAAATTTATAGTTACAAGAACATTTTATTTTTGTCACTATTACTCAGAAATAATATTCAGAAATAAAGATGTGTCTCTCGCGCGCGCGCACCCAATCTTTCGCCGGACAATCGCCGGAGTTTCTACAATCAATCACCGGAGTCTGCTTTCTATCGTTCTCGCTGAACCAGATCGCGTTATTGCTGATGGATCGATCAGAGTTTTCCGAACAATCACGGCTTTTCTCTCTTTCTCCCTCGGGCCTGGTCGGACAACGTCTCATTTGCATAAAACGTCCATCGCCGCCGGCGAACCATCGGAAGCACCAAACAACCTCGCTAGAGGACAAGTTTGTCGACGAGGACGTCTACCTCGATGATACCGTCATCCTTGAGGATGAGAACTCCCTCATCCTCCGCAATCGCACAAGCACCACGCCTTCACCTCCCGACTCTTTGGGTGGGCCCGCCTCTTTCTCCAATGATTACGCCTCCGCCTCGCGCAATGTTGGTCAGTTATTGTTTTCCACTAAGTTTTCTTTCATGTACTGTGTTTGTTTGGCGTAATTGGATCTGGCCTAGGGTTTGTGGAAATTTTAGGCTCGGTAGGGCTGACGGATTTTTACTATTGTCGTTTTTCAGCAGTTGGAGATTGATCTGATGGATTGCTAGAGTTTAACAAAAACTTCATTGCTCAGCTCTCTCTTCCTCTTCGGAACGAAGAATCGCACTGAAAGAGTCGCTGGAGTTATGATCCTTGGATCTAATTTATGGATCTTTCCTGTATTTTTTCTCTCTGTGTTGTGGATTTTGCTTGCTTACTATTATTATTATTATTTTTGTTAATTTTTCTTTGTTTCTGTAGTTTTGAAACTTTGGTGATAGGAACAGATGAAGATCAAATGTATAAGATCTACTTGATTTATTAAATGTTTAGACTGTGTTAAGCACAATCTTTGTTAATCTACCAGCTATATTCTTTTTCTCTATTTTGTCACTGGGAACATAGATTAAGAATTTCTTCAGTTTAGTATGTTAGATGAATAACAGAATATTTTGTTGGTTTTATGTTTAGAGTAGACATTGGAAAAATTGTTTTGAAAAATTAATATTATATTCACGTATTGATAACATGTTATTCTAGAAATGGCATATGGACTTGTGGAAAACGTTTAGAAATATTAGTGATTTGTTGTGTTGAAATTGGGAATTGTGTGCTTGGTGTACATATCAAGGGCATGTTTGTTTCATATACTCAAATTCAAATCATTAATTCTGTTACAGTATTTTCCTCTCACAAAAAATTGAATTTCAAATGTCAGAATCAAGAATCATAGTTTGAGCATACCTTCCAAACAGGCCCTAAGTGTTTTGAATTTGATTATTTGCCGCCAAGTGGATTATTTTGTGTATCTTCGCTGTTTGGTATCTGATCCGTTGGTGCTCTGATTGATTTTCTTATTTCCTTCAGGTTTTGTTCGAGTTCTGGTGTTCTGGCCAATTTTCTCAGTTTGTTCTGCCTCTTTTTTCCCTAACATGGTCGCCACTAGTAATGAGTTACATGAGAAATGACAGAATTAGCTGGTTGTTATAATGCCTTTTAGGTATTACATTTTTTCAGGTACTGGTTTTATTTGCTTGGTAGTCGTACCTAGAATTTCCTTAGCATGCATACACTTCTGGCTTCCGCATTAAAAGATGTGGGGATTAAATCTAATGCGGAAAAGAGCCGCACATATATGTTCAAGTGGTACTTGTTTGGAGTTTGTGCTTTCTTTTATCCTAAACAGTCGTAAGCTTCTTTTTTTTGGTTGGAATCCAGCAATAGCTTCTGGCCCTTGCAAATGGTGATTGTATTAAGGACAAGCAATGGAGTAGAAACTCATTTGTGGTGGATATGGATAAAAAGCTTGCAGTAGAGAATCTTTAAGAAGAGTTATTTGCATATCATGGGTCTACTATTGTTACATTTCTCAGATGGAGGAACAGCTTCAAAACTCTCCAAAACTAGGCTCTCCCACTGAAAATGATGATCTGAAGTACGTCTCCGGGCTTAGTACCATACTGGTTGCCACAATTCAGGAAGCAAAAGACAGAATCTCTCAAATTGAATACATATTCTGCAGTCAGCTCTACCCAAATTTCCAATCAAAAACTAAACTCATGCAGAAAGTTTCTGAGGCCAGAGACAGAGCGCTGTACATTTCTCAGCACAAACGACATCAAAAACCGAAACCAAAAGTTCTGCAGAGAGAGAGAGAGACAGAGCGCTGTACATTTCTCAGATGAAGGAACAGCTTCAAAACTCTCCAAAACTAGGCTCTCCCACTGAAAATGATGATCTGAAGTACGTCTCCGGGCTTAGTACCATACTGGTTACCACAATTCAGGAAGCAAAAGACAGAATCTCTCAAATTGAATACATATTTCTACCCAAATTTCCAATCAAAAACTAAACTCGTGCAGAAAGTTTCTGAGGCCAGGAGAGCAGCAGATATTGAATGGAAAGAGAAGGAGAGTGATCTCTTATTCCAAATAGAAAGACTCAACCTTGAAAAGCAACAAACACTTGAGGAGAACCAGTCTCTGAAGCTTGAGAAAGCAAGGAGTGCAAAGGAACAAGAAGACAAGAATTGTGAATTACTAGCCAGATTAGAAAGTAAGCAACGTAAAGTCGAAAAGCTGGAATTGAACCTTCAACAGAAATCCAAGGAAGTTGATGAGGGAATGAAATTGCGAAATAGCTTACTCGAGTTGATTCAGTTGAAAGCCTCTGAGACTGTCAACAAAGAAAAACAACTGAAAGAGTATGAAGAAAAGACGGATGTTCTTCTTTCAGAACTGCATCACCTGGAGAAAAAGGTTGATGAGCTCCAAGAGGAGCTCAGACAAAAGATTGGAGAAGTAGACAAAGGAAATGAAATAAAAGCAAACTTATTCAGGAAGATTGAATCACAAGCTTTAGAGATATTGAATAATGAGCAGCTGTTGCGTGATCAAGAAACGGAGAAAAAAGTACTTGCAGGTAAACTGGAATGTTTGGAAGGAGCAGTTTGTAATCTCTAAAAAGAACTCGAGGAAAAGTCTGAAGAAGTTGAGGGAAGGAGGCCGCAAAATCATTTACATCAGAAAACAAATTCTAATGGGTTTGAAAGGTTGAAGACACTGGAGGAGAGTGAGAAAGAGAAAAAACTGCTTCCGGAGAAAATAAACGGCTTGGAGGAGAAAGTTAATGAACTTCAGGCGGATCTCAGAAGTAGGAAAAATGAGATGACTAAAGCAAGCGATTCGTACAAGAAGTCACTTGAACAGATTGAATTAAAAACAGCTGAGTTACTAGTTGAGAAGAAGAAAAGGAGGGATGTCATTAATGCTTACAAAACGCTTAAATCACAATACAATTATCTGTGTGGAAAGTTGGGTTTTACTAAGGAGAGTGTGCTTTCCCCACAGAAATTACAAGATGAACCTGATTCTTTGAATCATAGTTGGAATCAAATAAGTTCACCGGATCTTGAAGGCAAATGTCAAGACACTTCTCTAACTGCATGTGACGGCGACAAAGTGAAGAAAATCACTACTAACAATGATTTGGAGCAAAAATGGGAATGAGGTAGTTCAAGACTTGAGCTCCATCGATGTGATAATTCATTGGTTCCATCGATGCGAGATTGTGCGAAGCTCAATGTGGATGCTGCATTCGGGGCTGGTCAAGCGGGCATTAGTTGTGTTGCTAGAGATGATAAAGGTCAGGTCCATAGTGTTGCAGTTCAGGTTATAGAACTGGCTTTCGTGCATGCTAAATGCCAACTTTTTGGGTGGAATCTGATGCAAAGATGGCAGTTGGTGTTTTGGTCTTGGCTCACCCACCAATCAGCGGATGGTTCATCCAACTTTTTTTTATAAGTTTTTAACAATGGCTGCTCGAGCTCTTGTTTAATGTTAACCTGGACTCATAGGTCTAGTAATGCAGCAGCTCATGAGGCTTCACACTGGGCCCTAATGACTAATTCAGCTGGTGTTTTTGATCTTGTGGAGGTTGTCCCTCATATAAAAACCTATTATATATACTTGCAGTTCCTTAAAATTGAATGGAACTCAGATTTGCTATGACAAATAATGCGTTTCAATGAAATATTTGAAATATTGAATTTTGTACGTTTTATTTTATTTCTTTTAACAAAAGTATGATTGAGCTACAAAATCAACATTTTGTCACTAATTTAGATTGAGAATTAGTGACAAAATATTGATTTTGTAGCTAAAAGTCAAGCTTTTAGCTACAAATTTAAGAAATTAGCTACAAATTTTCTAGTCTTTAGTGACAAAATGATTTGTGGCTAAAAGTGTCCCATTTTGTTACTAAACTTATTTTGTAGCTAATGGTAGCATGTTTAGCTACAAACTCACAATTTTTATAGGTATACACTTTCAGTGTCAACGATGTAACTATGTCGTTGCTACAAAATTTCAACGTATAGCTACAAATATGGTTTGTAGCTAAATCCAAATTTTCTTCCAGTAAATACACAAATTAATATTCACCTAATTATGATGAATGCTAATAGTGTGTCCACTCCACTTTAAGTCAATGTGGGGCCATGTGCATATCATGTATGCTATATTTTATAGTGTACGAAATAGTAATGCATGCAGCCATGCATATATGAGCAGCCCATTCCCAAAAGAAAAGGAAAAAAAGGAAGTAATGTTTATAGGCTTATTTCTCAGGAGTAAAGACACAAAGAATTTCCTGTTTTGTAATATATAATAATATTTTCCCCTTTTGAGAAAGTGAGTAGAGAAAAAGAGAGTAGTGTGAAGGAGAGTATATAGACTGAAAAATTAATTTAACATTATTTTTTTCTTAATTATTTTAACATCCAAACTCGAAAAAAGAAATAATAATACATGTAATCAGTTTTCTTTCCTTTTATTCTTAATTTACAATGGCCTGTCATAAGCAAACAAAAATTATCTTTTCTTTCTTTCCTTTTTCGCTTTGCACTTTCCTTCTTTTTTTTTTTTTTTTTTTTTTTTTTTTTTTTTTTTATACATAAAAAGTTTAAAACAGATCCTAAGAAAGACAAATGAGAGAAAAACGGTTCCTGTTAATTTTGGACACCGCAAAATTAGTGAATATTGTTCAGATGTTCTAAGTAAGGAGTGCTCTTTTATTGCAAATCACCTAAACTTAACAAACAGGACATTAAAAATAGGGAATTGCAATCAATTGAACACAAGTAATCAATTTCACTGATGAAAAAACTCAAATGTCATTAATAAAACCACTAACTATACATATGAGCTTGAAAGAATCGGACAACATCAGTACTCATTTATCCGATCATCTCATATTTACGGAGAAATTATAAAGAAAAATAATAATAAAATAGAAACAAATTAATTAAGTAGTAAATTAATTAACCACCGTGCAAAACTTTCTGTTTTGGCTTGCCTGAAACCAAAAGAAGAAACTGAGTTAGGCAGTAACATCGCTTCTAATTGACTGATCGCTTTCGCCATTCTGATGATCAACAACAGTAGAAGAAGAAGAAGAAGAATCGTTTCGTTGGGAGAGATTGACAAGTGCGATGCACGGATTATTTC